TGTCATTATTGAAAAAAGGTTGTGGGGTCCATTGTTAAGAAGACAAAGACTGACTGTTTGACATGGGATGACTGTCACAGCCTGACTGTGCTTGGTTTAAACAGAAACCAAGTACTATTGTTCTGCAAGTCTTCACTTTAACACGTGTGGAAACTGTTTTACATATTTTGGAACCCCAAGGTCAAAGTCTCAGATTGTGATGCATTAAAAAAAAAAACTAAAAATGAAAAGTACAACAGAGCTATTGAAGCAGCAGAAAGTATAATATGCGTAAATAAAACAATCGTTGGGGTCTTTTACGCTCATCAGTGAGAAACAGGATGCTTCTCATCATTCATCTTCTAGACCAGCGGGCTTAGGGTTTTCTTAAATATCAGCCAAGTAGAGATAAAGATGCGTTGCATCTATCAGTATTTGATTCGTAAGATCGTCCAAATTAATTTTAGTAGGGTGGAAGAAAGGATTTGCAGAGGATAAGAGTCTTGTAATTTAAATCCTAACATTGAGACACGTGTCTTGGAGTATTGGCGAAATCCACTCAAAGAACGAAAGCGAGTAGTGGGAGAAGGAGAGAGGGCAAATGAGTGCAAGGAGGATTAAAGCTCACGACCAGCTGAGGTCAGAATGTACTCCCGACAAAAATCTGGGTTACGAAACTGATCTTCAACACGCTCTGCTTTCAGCCTCGCCAAACAGGAGGGGCTGGATTCTAACAACTTAAATGATGTGTACAAAAGGAAATGCTTTCTTTAGAAAGAGACGGAATAAATCACTTTCTCAAACATATTCCAAACATTTTCATTATCATTAGAGGTTTAAATTGGTAGGGGGGAAAAAATGGTCAAAATGTAGGCAATACTCAAAGTCATTCTAAATGGACCAGAACTAAACTGCAATCTCAGGGCGCCAGGAGTCAAATCAATGAGCTGCAAACAACTGGACTGGTAATGATCAGTTGATTGACCTCAAATCAGTTGACTGATTATGGGCCTTTACTTGTTGTTGCAACATATTTCTTTTTACAGAATCTTATGTAAAAAAAAAAAAGGACCCATCATTTGAAGGAAGGCATAGCTTTCACTGCCTGTCAGCGTTTCCAAATAAGTCAACTTATTTACTTAAGTTAAATTTAAATTGGCTAAAGTTGACCAGCTGTGGAGATGTTGGACTGTTGTGAAATTAGTCCTTTCTGAATGTTTTATTAAAATCTGTCCAGTGGTTCACACGATTTTTTGCTAACATAACAGACAAACTCTCACACACATAGGCGCAGGCAAAAAACATTAATACCCATCACCAAAGGCAAAAAAATGCAATAATGGCTGATTCCAGCCCCTGATGATGACTATGTTTGACATGAATGCACAAAACGTATTCGTTAGTGGGACAGGAAGTGAAACAGCATTGCTCCTAAATCCTTGATTTAATCACGTATAGCCCAAAGTGCTGCTGAATATTTCACTGGATTAACCCGCTGACAGGAAGGACCACAGATCCACCATATGTCCCCGTCAACAGAGACTACACGAGGTCCCTTACAGATTTCTGCACACGGTCTTATATGCATTTTTCTAACTATGACACATATAGGCAAAGAGATTAAAGAGAGCAAAACAAAGTCTTACATTAAGGACAAAAAGCCTCTCTTAATTCCCGTGAACATCACGTACAAGATGAGTATGAAGTGTAGTTGGAGATTTCTTTAAACACTGGGACAAAATTTGAGGCATGTTTAACTTTTAGAGAATGTACGAGCATCTTTCATCTGAAATATTTTCATCAAGGTTTGGGGCGGTGAAATGCAAGCTAAGTTTAATTTCAATATGAACGTCTTCAACCGATTTCAGAAACGGTTGCAGACTTGACTGAGATGTTACAAAAAGGAATATTTTCTCTGTATAAAAACGCTGTTTTCTAATGATTTAAGACATGTAGCGCTTTGACCTACTAACAAAAAAATTGTGTTTTAAAACCAACTTGCTTAGAAATAAAATAAGATGCATAACTCTTTGCCACAATGCACAATCAACACAATATTTAGATCACAATCTAAATATCTCATATGATTTATTATCTTTCCCCTTGTTTTAAAAGCTTTGTGTAGTTTTATTCTGTTTGTACTTATTTAGATCATCTACTGGGGCTGAAGCTGAGAATTTCCACAATGGCCATATGCCTCGACATATGGCTAAAGAAGATTACATCAATTATTTCTTAGCAGGAAAATGAACTAGTTAGCCTGTTTAGACTTCCCAAATGATTTAAAAAAATATGACATGCTCATGAAAGAATGTGTTTCATACTTTGGACCAGAATATATACAGAAAGCCTAATGTAATATACCACAGAGAGCAAAGTAATCTGCTTGATTCATACATTCATTTTGCAGCAACAGCTTCAGTGTTATTAAAAAGGTCCAAAAACAACAATTATGTTTTAAATTATTATATTTTGGCACTTGTGTCAGCTAGAACTAGAGAACACTAAACATTCATTGCCCCGTAGGATTAACGTTGTCCTGCAGGGACAAACTTTGACAAAGCATGATTGTGCAGCCCCATCTCCACATGACACCTTTCACCAACTCCACCACAACAAGCAGCCGGATACAGAATATCTAACGGGGCTGTAAATCACAAAGGACTTTACTACACCGTAAAGGAATCCTGCAAAAGAAGCAATCTCCATTACAGCCTGGCAGTCCCCTCAGGATGACTTTGTGCAGGGGACACAGCACTGACCAGGCCATGCTGCTGGGCCAACCAGCTAACAAGTAACTAATGTCCTGAAATGAAGGGGGAGCTATAACAGCAGAGAAACTTAGCAGTTGTTCATGTGAAAATGAAATCTTTATTTCAAGCCACACACACAAAAAAAAACAGCTTAAAAAAGGAATGTACGTAAGCACGGGGAGTGGTTCATCTGTCTAAGAAAAAAATATTTGTGTTGTTCCAAGGGTGTGTGCCTCTGCATGAAGTCAGCAATCAAGAAAAATATGTTGACTGATACCATTATTAGTTTTAATCGTCATAACATTAACAAGCATTCAAAACCCAACCTTGACCGTGTCTTTGAATGCATAAAATGACAACAGAAGTGGTGCGCTCAGACCTCTTTCATCTTTTATGCTAAGAGCTTGAAAAATACGCTAATTTTACAGATGCGGGAATTCAGTCCCATTTTCATGGACATATTGCTGTCTCACATCTCGACTAAGAAGTCCTGCAGCAGGAGATGCTTTTGCACTGCAGTGGAACTTTTACAATTCGTTACATTACAGTAAAAGTGTGGATGTTACAGCGGGCAGGGTTAGCCTGCACACTGCTGACATTATTTGAAGCCACAGATGTCAAACATGACACTGACGCAACTTTCATCACTGATTAATGTGGTAAAGTTAAATTGGACGCATTCAGAAGGGGCAGCATCATTAACACTCGCTTATGCATGTAGTTGTTGAAACATTTTCACTAAGATCATGCAGACTTCTGTTTGCTGGTCTGCATGAGTTGACTGAACAGATGAGCTAGCTGCTTCAGTGTTTACAGTGCTACAGAAGATGTCTCATTGACCTGGAGGTTTCTGCCTCCCACACGTTTCACATTGCAAAGGAAAAAAAAAAAACAGTGCCTCCATAATTTAGAAATACAGTGGCTATTTCATAGAATTTAACTTGTTGGAAAACAGTAACTAAATGAAAGTTATGACAAGGCAGGGACAAACAAATTGAACTGTCATACAGCATGTAGGATTTAAGTCCAAAAGCAGAACTAAAGGGGATGAATTTAATTATGACGTGCAGTGATAATTAAAAGAGGCACGATTGATTTAAAAATATATATATATATTGAAACATGTTACAACCATTGCTGGCAGTGGGAGAAAAAGGACTGAAGAAGCTAAAGCAAGAGCTTTAAAGTGGCAAAAATCCTACCTCAGATTATGGATCTGTCTAAATTTAAAAAATGTGCTTTCCTGTTTTGTTTAAGAGAACGCCATCCAATGGAAAAGGCACGTTATTAAAGCAATTATCTGTTCTGCCACATCCAAAGGACTGGGTCACCTCTGGGGCACAAGTCGAGACAAGTTTATTCACAACCCAGTCTCTAGCTTGTAATTACACTGGAAAAGTTAAGAAAAGAGGAAGATGACAAGCTGCTAAATCAGGAACTTCTTATGAACTCACTTGTTTATATATATATATATATATAATGATTTACAAAACATCCTTCTTTATTCTGCATGATAAAAACAGCGCAGGGAAGTTCAGCCGGTGTCTGAATGTGGAGTTGTGGCAGAGCTAGAGATCATTTGAAGATGATGGTGGAGTGATTATTGGGCTGGCTGGATGACGGATGCTGGTTGTGCATCACAGAGAGGAGAGGACCAAGCCAAAGCATCAGCTGCAATGTGTCAGTAACACTGTTGCCAGCTGCTTTATTGTCTATGAAATCAAACAGAAAAAGACAAGAGGCATGAAAACACATGGGATCCCCCCCTTTGTGGAGGCAGATCAGCATGAGCATCAAACTGTGTGATGGGAACATAAACCAGGCGTGAAAACACCTGTGGTGGATTAGTCAAAACCCCTTATTTGACCTCATCACGGGTCAACAAACTCCAAGAATGTGCAGTCCCTCCTATACGCAGCCATATATATATATATATTTGTTTTTACATTATTGCCTAGCAACAGAGGGTTGCTCTGGTCTCTGACTCGAAGGCGAGCTCGAGCCAAAACACGCCGAACTGCACACAAAAGGGCTACTATAAAACTTTTGCTGTGTTGACTTAACTGATCGTGAGCGAAAACAGGGGACTTCCCGAACAAGTGCCAAGTTCAGAAGTCTATCGAGCATAACCGTGTGCTATAAAATATTTAGTGACTAGCGTCCACCGGCAGGTTAAACACCGCTACCGCTCGTAAGGTTAGCTACTAGCTCGGTAGAGACGAATTAGCACCAGCTAATGCCAACATTCATGTGTTGAGCAACACTTACTTTTGTGTTTGCCCGAACCCCAGGACTGTTTAGCGATACTAGGGCTCCGAATAATTGCCCTTCCGGCGGATTTCAAAGCGTCCATCTCCAAAAGAAGTGGGGCGAAGAGCCCGACGTGCGACGCCGCCTGTCCGTCACCCCGGCCGAGTCTTTTCTCTTGATTTAAAGGAGCACTCTTCCGCCGAAACTTTTCTATTTGTCTGTTTTCTGTTCCTCTTCGCTCAGCGAGGGTTCACTCCGCGGTGGATTATCATGTTCGTCCTCTGGGCGGTGTTTCGTATGTAAATTGGCCGGATAACGTGCGTTGTTACGCCCGGCTGTGGTGTCACGCGAGCGGTTGTAGCGGTAGGAGCGGTGGCGCCTGGTCGCGGTAGCGGCAGAAGCGGTAGCGCCTGGTCGCTGTAGCGGCAGGAGCGGTAGCGCCTGGTCGCGGCAGAAGCGGTAGCGCCTGGTCGCGGTAGCGGCAGGAGCGGCAGGAGATGAAGCACCTGGTCTGTGTGGTGCAACTCAATTCAAATAAATTTAGTTTATTTATATAGCGCCAAGTCACAACAGAAGTCATCTCAGGACACTGAACAGAAACATTCACATTTAAAAATAATAATTTTACATTATTTATCTGAGGAGCAGACTACTTTGAGTCTAACTCCATCACAGACTCTCATCGTGAGCAAGCATGAAGGCGACAGTGGAAAGGAAAAACTCATTCATGAGGAAAAAACCTCCAGCAAAACGAGGCTCAGGACAAGCGGCCATCTTCTTCGACTGGCTTTGAGAGGACAGGAAAGAGGAATGGATACACAATGGCAGGTCAAGAAACACATGTTAAGATGAAAACTATTCATCTGTAACAATTCATTTTAAGAAGTTAGGTCTATTTGTCCTCCAGTAGTTTAAGCCTATATATTTATCAAAAAGGAAAGTCTTCTTAAAACTGGACAATGTGTCAGCCTTACGGACAGAAGCTGGAAGTTGGTTCCACAAGAGAGGAGTCTGATAACGGAGATCTTCCTCCCATTCTGCTCTTGGAAACTGTAGGAACCGCAAGTAAGCCTTCAGTCTGAGAGAAGTGTTCTGTTAGGAAAATGTGGAACAATAAGATCTGTATTATAAGATGGAACTAGGTTGTTGAGAGCTTTGTAGGTTAGAAGTAAGATTTTGAATTTTATTCTAAATTTGAAAGGAAACCAGTGGAGAGAAGCTACTGAAGCTCCACACGCTCATTCTATAGTTTTGCTCATTGGCTTTTCCGTGACAAATAATTCTCAGTTTGTTCCCTCATTCTTAACAAACAGCAAAACACGTCATGAATTCAGTCGACTCACCTCAGCAGGTAGATTTACAATCTAAGGAGGAGCTGGGCGGTTCAAATCACTGTGGAATGTGGTTATTGTTGCTATAGTTTTATTATAAAGTGCCTGGATTTATTTTTTAACAAAGATAATCACACTAAATCATCATCTTACTTTTATAAACTAAATTTAAAAAAATGAAAATGTATTTATTAACAAAAATATCACAAATCGACTAATATAGTAATATAGCTACATATTCATTCAGTGGGATTAGGTGACCCCTGTTATACACTTTCATTTAATCTATGTCTTGTGATTTGGGGACATGTTTATCAATCATAACATAAGATCAACGTCAAAAATATTGTTGGACATATTAGGACCAATATCACAAGAAAAGTGAAACAAAGCTCTATTTTCGCATTGCATTACACTGAGATTACATCATTATCATTTAAATAAAAAAAACTCAGGAAAAAGGCTTGCAAAAAATCCAGCAGTACCAGATTTAACAAGCCCAGAGGCAAGAGTTCAGGTGGCTAACACCTCCCTGAGGACATGTTAGGCAACATGACTTGTATGTTCAATCTGATGCTCGGTAAGACGTGACAATACTTGCTGTGCAGTCCAAATAAATCAGATCTAAATGAGGATTATCACAACATTGGTGTTGCACTAAATAATCTATGTGCTCAGGCAGACACTCTTTTTAAGATGTCCCACAAAATCAATTAAATTTGAATCAATTTCATTATCAATCAGAAGTGAAATGCTCATAAAATTTGTAAGATAGAAGAAGCTGATGATCTGCATTTAATTTTATTTAGGTTTAGAATCTTTTAAAATTGATTAAATGTAGATTTGTGAAGCTGAGTATTTGTGCCAAACGCTGACTGCTAGAGATTATAATCTGCTCTTTCCACATGCTTAAGTGTGTGGTGCTAAACATCTGAACAGATGATGATGGAATGAGAAACAAAGATATTTATGCAAAATAACAGTCTTTGGTTAATGCAGAGAAACGGAGTGAGGAGTTTTACCTCATTCTTCTCGCTGCACAGGTTAATCGTGTGTTTCTGAGGATGCCGGGTATGTGGCAGAATGCTGAGCTGAGGGCTTCTGTCATGCATTGAAATGCACCGTCCTTGGGAAAAAGATTCTTTGTCCTCTCAAGACAAAAAAAAAAAAAAAATGAATTAGAGGAATTATCACTGAAATCAAACTATGTGGCAGCCCATGATTTGTTCTGTCTCATACTGAAAAGTATTGACATAAGTGTTAGATAACATGTAAGCAGAGACAAAGTGTTGCTTAATGTTTATTAAGTCTTTTGTCAAATGACTTCTTTGATTTTCAAAAGAATTGCTTTTATCATTTAATGACCAAAGCTTGTGTGGTTAGATTGAATTGAATTTTCGAATCATGACTGCCTCCTAGTGGCAGGAAGAGGATTTACATGTTTGAAGTAGATCAGCTCAAACAAAAAAAAAGGTCTTTACATTTTAATTCATAATAGAAGTCACACTTATTATTGCTTTATGTGGTAATGCTTTCATTATTGAGATTTGTGTTAGAATATCATGAACAAATTCTTATCTTAACCATAGTTAAAAATGTCACTATTTTATTCTAAAATATAAAAATTTGCAAGGACCCTTCATGAGATAATGAGTTACAACATCCATCATCTTTTACCTGCTTCTTCCTTTTCGGGTCATAGAGGTCACTGGTGCCAATATCCAGCAAGAGGCGGGGGACACCCTGGACAGGTCTCCAGTCCATCAGAGGGACACGAGAGACAAACAACCACTCACTTTCACTCACACATAGGAAGAATTTAGTTACCAATCAGCATGCATGTTTTTGGTCTGTGGGAGGAAACCGGAGTACCCAGGATTCGATCTGGCGATTTTCTCGCTGAGGGCAGAAGCAACTGCACCACCGTGCCGTCCTGAGTTATAACATAATTACCAAAAATAGTGACAGCAACAAGGAGAAGGTAATTTTGCAAGAAAAAAAAACACGTTTATTTCTTGTAAACCTCAGAGTGAGAGCGCAGCCAAGGTCAGACCTGGGAGGAAACAGAACAGTGACTGTGGGCATAGAAAACAAAGAAACAAGAAAAAAAAATAAAAGTACATGTTCACCAACCAGTTGGCTGAACCGACTGTAATTTCCACGTTTTCCCAAGAAGCCAACAACAGCAAACCAATTTTAAAAAGAAAAACAAACAAAAAAAAAAAAAAACAGCT